AAGGGCCCAGCTTGCGACAGCAGCAGTGCGCGGGATGCAGAGGAATGATTAGCAACATGCACCTCGCACATGCGCTCATCGCTTGCTCGGACGGCAACCCGCTGCCAACCCCGGAGTGGGTCGGCGGGCTCCTCACCATGTCCTCGAGCAGGGGGCGCGTCAGCCCCTCCACTGACTGCGGCCCAGGTCGGTGCGTCGTAGCCGTCGTGCCATACGCGCGCGCGAGCTTGTGTCGCGGCCGCCGCACACGGCAGCGGGACATCGCCTTGGAGGGCGTGCAGCAGGCGGTCGGCTGCGGCTGTGGCCCGGCGGCGGATCACGGGTAGTGTGTCGCACCATGGGGCCCAGTGGGTGGCGTGGCGATCAGCGGCAGCGGACCGCAGCCCCAGTCCACCGAGTCGGAAGGGCAGCCGGGCAGTTTTGAGGCTGGTGTCGGGGAGCGGCGTGTCAACGCGCTCCAGCAATGCAGCTAGGCACCGCGCGATGGCCACATCATGCGCTCGGGCAAAAGACGCCGTCAGGTGCGGGGGCAGCACTCGCAGCAGGTGGTTTGCCCGCGGAGCAGCGCAGGAGTGCAGCAGCAGCCACGCGGCTTGCAAGTCCTCGAGGAGGGGCAAGCGCTGCAGGAGCCTGTCGTGGTCGGCCCGTTTGCGCTGGAGCTGCTCGGCGACGAAGGCATCATGCCCAAGTGGGGAACCGAGGACTGTGATCCCTTGGCGCTCGGGGGGGTAACGACCAGTCGCCGACCCAAACAGGCGCCTCCGGGTCGCAGCCCAGGGCGGCGATGCCCGGTGGTTCTTCCCCAGCTGCATTACAGATGCGGGTTTTGCCTTCATGCAGGCGGACGCGCGCGTGCTCCCACAGTGCACGCGCCAAAGCGTCATACAGCGGCCGTATGCGCTCAGGCGGCGCGATGATGTAGGTATCATCGAGGAAAGCGAACGCAGCTTCACCGTCTTCGAGTTGAGATTGGATTTGGGTGAGGGCTTCATGCTGTGCCAAAGAATACAAGGCCGGCATGAGTGGATCACCCTGCTCGCCGCCTTCCCCTTGCCGAACCTCATGGGCCTGGCCGGCGTCGTCAAGCCACGTGTACGTGCTCGGGGTTCCGTAAAACTGCCGCGCGTAAGGCAGCAGCGGCTGGACAGCCGGCCGCGCAAGGAGCGCGCCGAGCATGGAACCCCTCGCGACGTGGTCAAAGGCTCCGACTCCATCGACCGAGAGAACTGACAGCCTCGCTGCCACCACTGGTGCTAAGTCCGAACTGGTGGGGCAGGCATGCCGCTTGCAGGTGTGGCGCGAAGTGCTGCGCCAGGACCTTGCCGACGAGTCTGCGCAGGACATCGCCGACGACAAGGGTGCGCACACAGCCATTGGGGTTGCGCAGCGCCACGAGGCGCCCGACCCGAATGCCTGCTAAAACGCAAGGTGGGACCGCAGCATTTGCGAGACGGAGGGCAGCCGCATGGAGCAGTCGGCTGTCCTCTTCATCATCGAGCAGGGTGCGGAGGTGCTCGGCGGTGGCACCGGAGGGCCCAGCTGCAGAGCCGCGGCGAGCACCACGCAGGGCGGCAAGGAATGCAGGCAGAGGCAAGGGGCATTCATGCTCGGCCCGGAAAGCAACAACCGCATCTGGCAGGGGAGCATACGGGTCGGGAGGGCGTTTGTCGGGGCCGGTGAGTTCGGTGAGGGTGTCACTGTTGCCAGGCGCGAGGGGCTCCGCCGTAAGGGAGCGCGACGCTGCGGACAACTCACCGAGGTGGACGAAAGCGGTGGCACGGTGAGCACGCGCTTCGTCACCCTGCGAACAACCCAGCTGCCGGCCATGTGCACCGGAGAGGGTGGCAGAGGCCTGCTCCAACAGCTCGGCCCATTGGCCAGCTCGGAAAGCCTCGCAGCGGCGGTCGAGCTCAGCAGCGGGGACGCTAGATTCCCCGGGGGCTCGATACAGAAGCATGCGCGGGGTGAGGAAAAAAAGCTTCCAACCTCGACCTTCGATCTCAGGATCCTGAGGGTGCACGGCGCGCTGCAGGCCATAGCGCATAGCGGCGCGCAAGGTGCTTCGCGTGCGCCAGGGGGCGGCTTGCAAGGTGAGGACGCGCGTCTGGCAGACAGCTTGGAAGGCAACTGCATCAAGTGAACAGAAACCACGCCACATGCCATCGGCGGCAACATCGCTGCGCCGCACGCGGCCTGGCCGCGGCCGCGGTGCTTCCTGTAGCGGCTCCACGGGGCCGGCTGCAGCGGAAGGGCGTTCGTCCTGGTTAGGAGCTTGGGCATCATCATCCTGTGGCCGAGGTTCGCGCGGACCGCGGCCTCGGCCCCGGCCTCGACCTCGCCGTCCTCGTTGTGCCCCCTGCCTAGCGCTTTGTGCCGCGCCGGCCATGTAGGCATCGGTGGCAGCGTCAACAGCATCAACAGCATCTGGCTCCTGGAGGGGCCCAGGGTGTGTGGCATTGGCAGGCACAGGGGGAAGTGCGTGGTCGACGCACACTTCGGGCTGAGCGGCGGGGGCGGCGCGGAAGGCTTCGGAGCGAGCGTCGAGCTCCGCCGCGAAGGCCAGTCCACCGTAGCAGCTGAGCAGCGTTTCCTGTGCCAGCGCAGGGATGTAGGCACTCGCGTCGGCGAGCTGGCGCACAGCCCATCCCAGATGGACCAATGTGCCCGAAGGCAGGCCTGCGTGTTCGAGGCGGCTCATCACCTGCGGCAGCTGGCGGAGGTAGGCAGGATGGTGCTCCGCTGCGAACCGCATGCTCTCCGCGAGCGTCGGTAAGCTAATTGGCGCCGAAGTTGCGAGATGGCGGCACGCTTCATCCCACCACGGTGCGGCACGGGGGTCATGGCGCCACTCCTCGGTAGGGGCTTGCCGAAGGTCACCCGCTGCCGCATGAAGAAGGGGCACGTACAGCCAAGAATTAGTGGGGCCTTCCACTTCCGATGGTGGGCCACGGCGATGCCAGTCGACTGAAACCTCCGCAGGAGCGTCCACATCAGCAGAGGCTGGCTGTGGCTGATCCACTCGAGGGATTGGCGTGGGCGCTTGGCGCGGCTGTGCTGCCGGACATCCGACCGTACACACACTGTGGGCGGTTCGTATATGGCGGTCGACTACCCATGTGATGATGCTGCCGCAATGTGCGCAAGGATTGCCAGCCTCGTCGGGTACTTGCAATTCGTGCAACTCCGCCGTGCTGGCACAGCGGGGGCATAGCCAGCAAGGGCGCCACGCCGCAATGCCACGGTCGTTGCGGATGGGCACCGGCGCCCACTGCATGTGGCGGTGCGCCAATTCCACAAATTCGACGCCACTGCCGGCATCGGGCATGGCAGCGAGGCGGTTGCAGCACAGCACTGAGACCCCCGGTGGTGGTCGGGGTTCCGGCGCGTCAAGCGCCGAGAAGGTCCTGACGGTGTAGTCTGGGACGGCCGCCCGAAGGGTGGTCTCGCCTGAAGCGCCTCTCGGGCCAGGGATGCCTTCGAGCTCACACAATTGCCGGAGCTGTTCATCGTGCTGGGCCGTCCAACCCTGCAGACTGCATGCGTCGCAAGGGATGTCCCGGCACAGGGGCCAAAGCAAGTCGCTGGCTGCTGATGCTTGGACTCGCCATTGCGCCAAACACTGAAGATGCATGGTATGCCTGGTGCAAACCGGCAAGGGCACGGGACGCAGGGGTCCTGTTGCACCAGGAACCAAGTCGTCTAGGCAAATGCAGCAGACATCCGATGCCGGGAGCGCCGGGGGCGTGACGTCTCCGAGGACAGGGCACCGGGTGTCAACCAGCACTGGCTCTGCAGGTTGTCTCCGGCTCATGGAAGTCAAGGGGCCGAGTTGTCCCGACTGTTCCTGCGCCGTTCGGTAAATGTATTCGCAGCTGCTTCCTATGTGCCGCTTTATATGTACAAATGTAACATATAAAGAAGCGGAAGAATATATATGCACAAATAAGGAATTGATGCAGTCACTCGAACACTCACTCCTTTTGTTCTCTGGCGGAAATGCAGATCGAAGGTCTTACAGTGCCAGAAGCCTGCATGTGAAAAGATCTGCAACTTTCCCCCCTGTGAGATCGAGGTGCATCAAAAGGCACCGACCCGTCACTTAGAGGGGAATGCAGAGAGACCGGTCTTCTTAGAAGACGGCCTGTAAAAGCATGATGCAGCTGCAAGCATCAGTAAATGAAGAATGAAAGAAGAATGCAGATGCCAGCATTCGCACCCAGAAAAAGGGAAGAGGTGGGTGGGACAAAATTTCTGCCCACTAAGCAGGCGAGAGGCAGCTGCGAGCCTGCATGCTACACGTGCAATGCAATGTAGTGTAGCATGCAGTCGAAAACATTTCCAAACAACCGTGAGCAAGCACACATACCGTTCGGTAAATGTATTCGCAGCTGCTTCCTATGTGCAGCTTTCTATGTACAAATGTAACATATAAAGAAGCGAAAGAATATATATGCACAAATAAGGAATTGATGCAGTCACTCGAACACTCACTCCTTTTGTTCTCTGGCGGAAATGCAGATCGAAGGTCTTGCAGTGCCAGAAGCCTGCATGTGAAAAGATCTGCAACTTTCCCCCAAATGAAATCTGCCAGAGAACCGCAGTCGCGCATCAATTCCACCAAATGAAACTGTGTGACAAGGTTTTAAAGTGCTGCTCCAAATGGAGAGCAGGACGGCAGAGCAAAATCCGGCTTCCAGGAAGGCGGTGAAACAGTAATGCAGGGCGAAGCCCTCCACAAGTCTTTGAGTTTGATTCGCCGTCGGTTGGAAAGCTTCCAACGAGAGGCTAATGCAGCAGGAGGACGCCAACGGCTAAGGTAATCAGCCTCCTCATTCTTGGGACCAGCGATATGCTGGACATCCAAATGAATGCCTGTAAAACTGCTCAAAATGGCAAGACGCTGCACAAATGCAGCCAAGGGCCAAGAAGTCGTAACAATTTGTTGGCAGTGGCTTCAGCACCACTGTTATCGCACCAAGAATGCATGCGAACGCACAGTCTCACAGTTGGCAGCCTGGATGCAAAAGACTCAGTAGCCAAACTAATGCAATTTGACCCAGGCACTCATAGCAGCTGATGTCCTTGTGAGCCTCAGACTTTAAAGGCAACTCAGCGAAAGCAAAGTCTTCCACAGTGAAGCACTCAGAAAACCAGAATTCGCCACCTGGCAATGCAATGTCACCTCCGATGGCAAAGGTACGACCATTGCCCATGGCATCAGCTGCAGCCTCCACCTTCAAATGCTGAAGTGGGCGCAAGGCCCTCCAGATGGGAGGCAAGGACGACCAATGTAACCAACAGCGCAACAAGTGGCGGCTGGCCGCGCTTAATGCACGACGTTTGGATGCCGGGTCTGCAATGCGAAGCCAGATATCTTTGTCACCAATATTGCAACCCAGCAACTGCTGCTTAGTACTAACCTTTCGGTGGCGAACCGCCAGAACACGACTGCCAACCGTAATGGCAGCACCTGCAGGAAGTTTCGTCAGGTACAATGCATCGTTGAGACACGAAACGAACAACTGCCACTCATTTTGTCGCACACTAAAGTTGGTGGCCCTGGGCGTATGCAAATCCTGATAAAGCGATCGGAGCCATGGCTTAGCCAATGGAAAAAGCTTGAACAACCATTGTAGCATGCCACAAAGCTTGCTCAATGTAGCCCTGTCAGTGTATTTGCCCTGCAATTTAGACGAAATGACCGAATGAAGTCGTTCCAATTTGTCGGAGGGAATGCAAACACACCCCATGCCGAAATCCAGCTCCCAGCCAATCCAACGAATGCAGTAGCCAAACTGTAACTTTTTCCAGGAAAGAGGAATGGAAAAGGCCCCACAGAAGCAGAGAGCGATGCAAAAACTCATCTCAGCGACGGAGGCTGACTGAAAGCCCAGCAAATCATCTACGTACATTGCAAGGAAATGTGCAATGTAAATCAGCAAATGGAGTGCACGCACAAAGAATGCACCTGACCGTGCAAACCAGAATGCAGAAAATGCAGCACCAAATGGACATACTGTATAAAAATACAGCTTTTGGCCAACTCGAATACCGAGTAAGCCTTGCTCCGACTCTCGGACAAGAATGGATTTGAGCAGCCTTAACATCAATGGACCACGCTGCCATGGGCTCGTGCTTCTGTCTGAGTGGCCAGGCCGCCTGTATAGTCTGCAATGTAGGTAATGCAGACCTCTCAGGGATCAGGCAAGATGCATTAGTCCCGCAAATGGACGAGTCCACGACTAGTCGTGGTTTGCGACCTTCCGAATGTACTATATTGAGTTTTCCGACTGCCACATTTGGCCAGATGGAGCGAGCATCTTCCAGAGATGCAATGCAACGCAACCAGCCATTGTCAACTTCGATCTGGACCAACTGTTCTAAAAGAACTGGGTCCGCTTCTGCACCTTGCCAGTTCTCCATGCAAACGGATAAGGCATCATCTGATGCAGTGCGGCCCGAAGGGGCAAAACAGCCAGACAATGGAATATCATGTTTGAAACCTGCGGGAACCCCTTGTAGCAATGCACCAAAAAGTGTCATGTCAGGGTCACGAAGAGCAGATGAAAGACTGGCCAATGCCTCGAGACAGTAGGGCTGACCCGCTTTTATGGACCAATCCACCGCCCCCTGACCATGAGAATGCATCCAGGCACCAAACATTTGTCTGAGATCGGTCAGCTCCGCATCGGAAAAGAGGTGCTCCTCCGATGGATTCGCCAAACGACTCCTGATCCGCGAAGGAATGCACTTCCTGCCACAGTAGGACATGAGATCATGACGCAGAGATTTGAATGTATCTGTAGAGGGATGTTCACGCCCGCTCCAATCAGGTCGACTATGTAGCCCACCACCATCCACCCATGCATGAGGTGGATCATCAACTGGTTTGACCGGAATGCAAGACCATGCTTCATTTACCGAAAAGGAGCATTGTCCTGAACAGGATTGCAACTTAGAAATAAGGATAATATTGCAAATAGCATCCACCAATGAAGGAGGATATGCAGAAACAGAACGCTGCTTGCCGCACGATGAACATTTGCAAGCTGCACCCAGGGATGCGAAAGATGCCGAGGATGAAACAAAAATCCAAGGTCGACTGCCAGACCCATGGAATGAACATGGTGGAACCTGAACAATGTTGTGTAGGCCTGTAGCGACACAATGAAGAAAAAGCTGACTATCCCAGCATTGCTGCCATTCGGAAATATCCAGATGTACAGCCGAGCCTGAGGCATAAGCGACTTTGCATAGTTGCAGCATCCAATGTAATTCCTCGGTGGACCAGGACGGAGAAAACACAATGAACACCGAGGGGAAAACTGCGAAAAACACTGCGACGTGTAGCCTCAACACTCAACGACTCAATGCATACATGAGGTACACCAGCCGATGACAATCCCGCTCCCAGGGCCTGACAAGGAGCTCGGCAGCATACAAGACAAAAATGCTTCGGACCACGGGTGGAGCGACTACCTGCCCAGAGCCAGGCAATGGAAATCCCCACATACGAAGGGATGACAGGTCCTTCTCCGAAAACTCTGAAAGATGCTGGGATGTATAAGCGGTGATAACCCAGCGATTGCCATGGAAAGGTTCTGTGGCGTGCCATAGACGGCCATCGAACTGAAAAGGAGCTTCCTTAGTGTTCACAACTGTGAACCGCAAGTCGCAGCTAAGTGATTCAACATGCAATGTTTTGTCACCAGTGGCACACTCCAGGAGCAGTCCTCCACCGGAAAAGTCGCCCAATGTAATGGTGTAATTCAGTGTGCCCGGCTCATTGGATGTATCTCGATGTAGCTTGAGGGTCTCATTGTGCGAGACGCAAATCGAAGACCACGTACCCGATGGAAAAAGCATGTGAAGCCAGGCATTCAACCGAGACAAGATGCTCTGAAACTGAAAAGTGTGCCTTGTAATGCCTCTGCGAATGGACTGAGAGAAGGCGCCCAAGTTGAAGTACGAAGCCTCCGAGGATGTACCTTCAAGGGCATGAGACCTGTACTTGATAGTACCAGATGTAAAAGTCTGCTCCAGCAAAGAAAGAATCTCCTCCGAAGAAGTAGAGGTGTGCCCCGCTGAGGGGGGGCCGGCTGTGGAGGGCGATGCATGCCCAGAGGGATGTCCCTCCTGCAACCCTGGGCATCCTCAGGAGGTGTGCATGTAGGCGGGATGGTCCTTGCCGCAAGGCTTGCCTCCGACATCGACCGCACAGCCATGTACGAATGCACACTCTTCAAGCTTGCATCCCGACCGAAGGTTCCAACGCTTGCACATGTTCTTTTGCTGACCATTTTCGTAGAATGTAACCATCCACTTGGGGCCTTGGGCATCCTTCCCCTGCGTGGATTTTCCACCTTTGCCCCGGCCCTTGCCATGCTTGCCTTTTCCGCCAATCTTTTCTGGAGTCCCCATGAGGCTGTTACCCAGACTCGGACGCTTGGGCTTCTGAATGAAGACCCGGGGCTGTAGCAAGTTCTGAAGAATGCAACGAACCTAAACAATTTCATGTAAAGCGTCGTCAATGGACCAACCCTTGTTGGCTAGTTCCGTAATGCATTTCCACGCTTTTCTATCCGCTGTCTGCATCTCCGAGACGTGGGGACTGCGGAGTCCGGATTCAGATGGAGGGCGTTGAAAAGCCAGCCGAATGAACATCTTATTGTAAGCACGAAACGAACTCAAGTGTGCAACTTCCAGCAGGCAAAATGCAAATGCAATGAGGTCGAGGAGGTGTGCAAGGAACATCTGAGACACACCGCCATCTGCAATCTCCCTCGATGGAATGTCATCGAACAGAAAGTCGTCGATGCGTGCAATTTTCTTGGGGCGCGATGCACTCACTTCGTCTTGCTTTTCCTCGCTGAGCCTGAACTTCCATGGAATGTATGCAAAGTGTTTGTCTTGGACTTGCTTATTGCAAGACGCAAGTAAACGAGAGGATGGCATCGTCGATGCATCTATAAGATTTCACTGGGGTATGCAGATTCGAACGCATCCCGCATGGACTTGACACGGTCCACAGATAGCTTCGCAGGGAAAGTTTCCGTCCAAGTGGATGGAGTTGCAGCCAGTGTGTTGCTAGCAGCAGGAGCAGCAACAGCAGACGGAGTCGCAACCGCCATTACCGCCGAAATGCAGCGATGATACGCCGCTTTAATGCAAGCCAGGGATACGGTGTTCAGAAGTCCCTTGGCAGGCGCATCCAAAACTGAATGGAGGCACTCCTCCAAAGACTCGACCCCCTCACAGATGCAAGGGAATGAGTGTACCGTCAGCTGCGACGACAGCTGAGAGGCAATAGGCTCAGGTACCTTTTCTTCGCGGAGAATTTGAGCCAGGGGCAATGCAGCCATAGTACTCGCTGTAAAAGTCGTGACCTGAGCAAGGGGCAAGCACGACAGCGCACAAGAAATGTGATCCTCGGCCTGGTGGAAAAAGGCTGATCACGAAGCACCAATGGCTAGGCGAGTGGGATGGCTTGCCCGTGTGAGGCTACCCGGGAAAATACTCCTAGAGAAGACCTGCAAACGTGAGCAGCATACAAGTTAAGAGAGTAGCAACGCAAAGCTGTCACGAGCTTGTAATGTGGTCGCAAAAGCCGCCGTGGCATGAGTCACTGAGCTGAAGCCCAAATGAGGGCGGATGCAAGGACATTGCAAAGCAATGCAAGCAGGCTCAGATGCAGGAGACCAGAAACCGCAGATGCAAGCGGAATGGAAGCTGCAGACAGCCCCGGCTTCATTTTTGACAGCCTCCCAAGCGCCCGGGAGTCGCAGTATCGCCGCCACAGAGTGGCTCTGTAAAATGTAAAAGCATGCCCTGCTGGGCCTAAGGGAAAACAGCGAGGCCCTCAAAATGCAAGGCAATGCAATGCATCCTTAATACCCACCATGGTATCTCCACCACCAGCCTTCGGACCACTGGTCGTCCCGCCATTCGTCGTCCCATGATGTAGATGCATCGTTGGATGCATTGGAGCCCTGACCTTGCTTCTTGGCCAGCATCGCCTCACGATAACACTCCTTACATTTATGGAGTGTGCCAGAGCTCAAGAAGTGCCCGTCGTGAGGTATCTCGGAGCTGTAACCGCATAAACCAATGCAACCAGGTGTAATGCATGATGCACGACAACACACCAACTGTCGCGTTGCAATAGGGCATCGAAGATCGGCGGGGGCAGGCTGCTCGATGAATGTAGGTTCCTGCACAGGACGTATTCCCGGCTGCGATGCATCAGAGCCTTTCGGCTGGTCCTGCGACGCATGTGATGCATCGGGTTGGGATGCATCAGCAGCGGAAGACCTTTGTTGGCACCCTTGGGAAATGTAGTGGAGTCCGTAGGGGTGCTCTCTTCGATGAACGTCTGTCTTGTCAGGTTTGGGCTCAACCTTCTCCGAAGCAAATGCATCTTGTGATGCAAAGGGCGAGTCCGCCGGCTGGAATGAAACCGCCATGGCCATCAACAGCTTGCGCTGTCCTGTCACTGGCCCACTGCGGATTTCCGAAGCCAGTTGATGCAAATCAGTGTTATAGAGCCAGGAGAGCCCGTCCCTGATCGCCTTGGTTTCGCGAACATTGTCCGCCAATGCAGCCATGATGCAAGCGGGCGGAATGAAAGAAAAATGCAACCCGAGGCAAGCGAAATCTGCAAGCGAATAGTAGTCCTAACAAAATGCACTTGAATTGAATGATGTGAATGTAGAGAATGCAATCACATCGGACATCTTGCTCTAACTCAAAGTTGAGCACTTCAGGCCGAGCTGAAGACACAAAGAATGCAGTCGCACAGCCGCCAATCATGCAGTCGCCAGCATGCAGTCTCGAATGCAAGAGACAAAATTTTTAGCCCACGAAAGAGGCTAAACGAGGTCTGTGAGAATGCAAATGCAAGCTTTGGCTCTGCAAAAGCGAGCCGCCGGCCCAGGGTGGGTAATAACCCGGAAAACCCCTCTGCTCCCACAGGCTGGACGATTGCCTTCCAAGCAAGCATGAACAATGGAACTCGTTTCCGCACAGACGAACGCAACTTCCTCCGCCTGTCCTAGATCACCCGAGCTGCTGGACTCGGCCTCAAGATCCTGATGGGATGCAGCAACGGAGGTAGGAGCGACACTCTTCGGAAGCTGCTGTAATGAAGCCGGGGGCAGGGAGGTTGCCGATGGTGACGATGTACTGGAAAACCTGAAAAACAAGAGTGGTGCAGCTGATGAAATGCAATGCACATCCAGGCCATACCAGACCCGGTTCACATGGAACGAATGAAACTCCTCGCATAAGAGGAGTCCTTGCATGCCAACTGCGGCGAACTCGCTCAATGAATGTATCCTGCGCCAGCACAAGTGGACTAATGTCGTCTCTCCCGTAAAGGGAGCTCGATGGAGAGTATTTGTGATGACCTTGTAAACGCCGTATCTCAAGTGACAAAGCGATTTGTCTGAAAAATGCAAGGAGCGTCACCTTCATTGAGTGTAATGTACACTGTAATTCCTGTCCAGGCGGCAAGCCACCCCAAATGCAAAGCAGCTTTCTAAGGCGCGCTAAGCATTCCGCGTATGTGAGTGGACGAATGCACTCCTCATCCAATATGCAAAAGATGTAATCCGGGGAGTCACAGTCGCGAGAATGGAGTCCCAGCACTTGTTCGACGGCAGCCAGCCAATGAAACACCCATGACTGATGTGATGGAAGCCGCAAAAGCCCAGAGGAAATGCAACCAAACGGCATAAAGAGTTTGGTTTTGGTTCTGTATGCAATTCCCCGGAGACTGTCCATGTCAATGAAAAGCTCATGTAATCGAATGTGCTGTGCATCAGAAAAGCGAAGGCTCGACCACATGCATAAGAGCACGGCACCAATGAACATGGCCTCCTCAGGGGAAGCACAAAAACCAAATGCACCTCCAACCACAGCAAGAATGCAAGTGGGAGGGGTAGAGCTTCTCGGCTAGCAGACTGGCTCTGCCATGATTTAGAATGGAAAAGACCTTGGTGAAGCGAGGGGAATCCCTCAGGCTGCACCGTCGAGTGGAACCAGCGAACTGCTTTCAGGACGTTCAATGAGTGCAAAGTAGAGTGGTGTCCCCGAGAGCGCTGCAATGTGTGTATAGAGTCAATAAGCTGGACTTGGGAGATCCCCGCCAGGTCGAAACTCAGATCCTTAACCGTAATGAAAAGCTGCCACAGCACACCAATGTAACGAAGTGCTGTTGTATCTGACACCCGCCGCAATAACTGCTCAAGTAATGCATCTCGATTGTCACTGTTGAAGATATCGCGAAGGAGGGAGGAGCAAAGCACCGCCAGACTACAAAGCTCATGCCACAAATGCAATGCTCTGGACCACTGCTTCGCATGTACCTCCGATTGCTTTATGACCTTGGAGCACCCAGTCGACTCCTGTGATGGAAAAAGATCCAAGGGACGCTTTCCTGGCGAAACTAAGGAGCTCGATGAACTCTGAGGCCCCGAGCAAGAAGATGCAACCCCTTTACGGGCATCCGCGGGATGCACCTGAGTTGGCCTGGGCGGCGAGCCCTTGGGCACCGCACCTGACTCCTCAGCCAGGGACTGAAACACCTCCGACGGGTAAGATGCATAAGCTCCCCGCCGTGAAGGTACAGGTCGGGGTTTCGGTGTCGCTGAAGGCAACCCACACGAAGCTCGTAATGTAAAAATCGGCTTTGCAACTGCACCAGATGAGGACCGGGCCGGCCTATAATGAAGGCTGCGAACACGATGAGGCACTGGCTGCCAGGCCGACGGCCGAGCCAAGGGCCGGACCGCGGATGCATTATCGTCTGCATCAGATGAAATGTCAATGCTCGAATGCAAGACCTCCTGGCTAGCTGGCAATGTAGCAGATGCTGCAAATGGAAGTTCCACGGCTACCGGACTGGCATCAAAAACAAGCCTACCAGTGCGCAATGGAGAGAAAGTGGAGTCATGATGGGACCCCATTGGATGCAAGGCAATCTCCGCCCCCCCTGACACAAGGTGCCAGGAACGACCACCCGACGTGTCATCTGTAGAGAGAGGCTCTTCATTTTCTGGAATGGACTCGACCCACTCAAAATCCTGGTCAGTCGAAGTAGGAGTGGAATGAACCGCCGCCTGGGTATCCCCCGAAGGTATGCCCTGAACCACAGCAGGAGTGTCCACAGCCGGTATGAAAGATACATCACTGCCCGAATGGAAAGACTCCATCGCTTGCTGCAAGACCAAAGCACTGGGAGATGTATTCTCGGGCTCTGGCGGTGAAGAGAGCTGTTGGTTCGTCTTTTTCTGAAAACGCTTGACCACGAATGATGTAGGCAAAGCTTCCGGCTGCGAGGTCTCAGTAATGCAACGACTCTCAGGCTCTGACGGCGAGACCACCAATGCAGAAGTCCCACTGTTCATATGCTCTGAAAGCACAGGCACTGACTGCTCAGCCACGAGTAATGAAAAACTCAGCAAGAAGGCCCAATGCAAATGAATGCCAAGGCTGCTGCAAAATGAAACCATGCACTACCCTCCCTATCTCGAGCGGGAGGGCAATGAAGCGAGCTAAGCCCACAATGGTTGATGGCCTCAAGACCCAGTCTAGAGGGCTTACAAAGCGGAGGCCTGTTAGCTACAAAATTTCTGCCCGCTAAGCAGGCGAGAGGCAGCTGCGAGCCTGCATGCTACACGTGCAATGCAATGTAGTGTAGCACGCAGTCGAAAACATTTCCAGACAACCGTGAGCAAGCACACATACCTGACCAAAGAGAGCTCGCTCCTAACGAGTCTACCCCATCCTTGACCAGAAGAGAGCTTCCTCCAACGCCATGAGAAAAACGAAGACCGCATCGCTTAAAAAACAGACAAGCCCCTCCAACTTCACGAGAAAGAAGAGGGTTCCGTTTACCCGTCGGCAAGAAGACATCCCTCCTTTCTCTCTTGAGCTGCTGACTATCTCCTCTACCCTTCAGAAGATGGAACAGAGCTTGTCAGCGCTCCCCTAACTTCCAAAAAGAAACGCCCTCTACCTCATCCTCTACAAGAAGACACTGAGAGCTTCCTCCAATCTAATGAGACAGAAGCGAGCTCCATCTAAAAACAATACAGGCAGGCCCTCCAAGACATTCTACCCCTCAGTCGGCAAGAAGAAACCTCCTTTTCCTCTAGGTAAGGGAAGGAGATCCTGACTATCCCCCTTATCCTTTCGAAAGATGGAAGAGAGCATACGCTCAAGAACAAAGGGTGGAACTCTCCCCAACCTTCAAACAAAGAAGTCTGGTCCTCCCCTCAATCTTCTTAACAGAAGAGAACTCCTCCAGTTCATGCCCTAAAACAAGAAAAAAAACTCCTCCAAGCTATACCTCCGGGTAAGT